TGCCACAAAGAGCCTATTGACTATTCCCCGCGACGGAGCCAATATTCCACGGCCACGCACGTGCTGAGCCCGCGACACGCTTTGCTTTGTTTGCGGCGCATGCAAACATTTTACTGCCACTTAGGCCGCTTATAAAGCAAGAGCTACGTCTTAAGACTTTATGTCGGCTGCGCATATTTATACACTGAAAACACATGGGAGAGTAGGTCAACGTGTGGTTAATGAAATGAGCTACTGGAGGAAGTACAGAGTGTTTCCAAATAGTCCTTTCAGTCTTTGAGTTATTTTGGGTCTTTGAATCAAACTTACAGCATTGGCTTTTGACTAGCACTAGTCATTCAATGCTGGCATTTAACTCCTGACGCCTACCCATGTCCAACGTCATCGTCATTCTTCATTTGGTACAAATCAACACAAAATGCAGGTGCTCCATTTGTACAACACTGGAATGGATCAAAACGTTTAGCTATTAGCAGAGTGATTCTCTAATCTCTATGAAAACCCCAAATGTAAGAGACACAATAACAAAAGAGCTGCCACCTGCTGAATGAAGTTTTTTAATCGCTCACTTTGTTATTATGGGATGCTTGAGCCCTTAGTAGGGCAAAAAATCGTTTATGTTTGTCTTTCTATTGATATATTGCTTTTTGTCAATGACTTTGTTATCATTTTGTCGTCTGGGTAAACGAGTGGTTATTGAGCTTGCCTGCAAATCTGAAGGTCGCTGGTTCGATTCCAAGCAAGATCGTTACTGGATACAGATGCCATCATACTTGTCATTGGGCTATGAATTATTGATGCTATCTAACAAAAAGGCCGACGTTAGATAGTAACAAGACCAGGGTTTGGACCGTCCCCTTTCAAAACGTAAAAAATGTCACTGTGTAGTTGGCTTACCGGTACTTTTATGATATCATTAAGCACTTTAAGCTATATATCCATTGTAACCTTATGTCTTTAAGCGGATAAATATAAAAAATCATTTCAAATAATTTTTCAAAAACCATAAGTTATGCAAGGTTTTGTTCGAATAAATTCACGTAAAATTAAAAAATCCTACCCCAAAATTTAAGTATTTTTATGTTATATGGAACTTCTTTTCGATGAGGTAATTCTCTACCATGAAAGGTGTAATTGAAGAAAATTTGCTTTAGTAAGTCCAAGGTATCCCGACATCCAAAGCACGGAAAACTAAAGCAGAAGCAACTGAAGTATTCCTTACTTAGCGCTCGGTCAACAAAGTTGTTGAAATATCCCGAAAAACGAGCCAAAACAACTGGCGTCAGCCCAAAACCGAGATTTCCACGTCCGCACTATTTCACGAGTCGCGCCCATTCTGAAGTCACCGCCGAAAATACGACCAACGCGCTGTCATAAAAGTATGAATCATCAAGGGACAAGTTCATTTCACAAACATAATGGCTTTCGTGGACGTGCTGTTATTAATATTAATAAAAAGTGCCAGACAGCTGGCATGGGAGTCAATGGCAAGGCCACACATTTGGCAAAGAAATGGCAGACTTGGCAATTCAGTGGCATACTACGGCGAGGCATGCCAGAATTTGCGGATGAAAGGAATGCAGGGAATCCAACTAAACATGGTTTTGTAAGAGATTATAAATGTTTAGTGTCTGCAAAAAATATTCTAGAAAATGATGGAAGACGTCTGCGGCAAACATTGCATCTCTAGCGTTTTTCTTAGATTAGCACACGAGTTGCCATTAATAACATCTCAATGCTTTAATGGCAATAAAGCTTGAATTAAAGGTGATTCAAAACTTGAAGTGATACAATATATGAAAATAAAAGTTGTTTCTTCAACTTCTCAATATGTTTTAATCCATGGATGGAACTAATTATAATTCTTCGAGAAATAACGTAATATCTCAATTAAGCTACTTTTCCAAGTGATTCGTAGTTTTAAGTGGTTAGTTTGGTTTGTTATACAGACAGGCTATGTACGATAGTTTTCACAATCTAAATCCGTTGTACCCTAGAGTAAATAAACACCAAGAGGTGTTTATTTATTCTATGGTTGTACTACCATTTAGAGGTCGCTGAGCTTATAGAACATTTTTAAGAGATTTTTATCTTATCGTAGGCAAAACACCAATGACTCATGCCAATACAAAACGTTATTGCATCCACAAGTTGAAAAGGGACTTTTACACTGCAAACACCATTGTCAAGTACATTTGAATAACTACTTTATAAACTTGGTGAGTTTTTGAAATTAAGTTCTAACAAAAATATATAAAGAAGGAAGTTCAAAATTACTAATTTATCGAATCACACCCCCGGAACATCTACTAGGTTTAATTTATTTCGCAAGAAATACAAGAGTGATAACTCCAAAACCCAAAATGTAATCTGAAAACAGTTTAAATACTCGTTTGTACACAAGAAGATCATTGCCCTAGACATTCAGGGAGTGGCAGCGCTAGAGTAGGAGGGCAGGTGATAAGCGTGACGTGACCTTGACCTGTCTGATAAGGTTACGTCATGTCTCGGCCGACACATACCACATGCCACGACAATGGTGCCGCTTGTGGGATTTATATCCAGAAAAAGGGACATTTTTGTGTTCGCAGGGTACGTTATGAATTACTAAACACACTCCGTTTAAACGATTTCCTAGCATAGATTACTAATTTCTTAGGATTTAGGATTCTTAAGATTTAGGACGGTGAAGTATGTGCGTATCCTTAGCTAAACATGAGTGTAGCTACTGAGTGATGTGTCATTTGTAGCTTAGTTAGTGACTTAAGAGCAGATGTTTCTTATGTATCATTTATTGACAGCCCAATCACCAAGGGTAGCTGGTTAATGATCTTGTCTCACCAAAGAAGCGACTAACTGTGAGTTTTAATATAGGTATATTTAAATTAAAAACACTGCTGCTATCCACAACTGCAAAAACGTAACCGCATCATATTCTGTTTATAATTTTTAGAATATTTATCTTGTTAGTACTTGGTTCGATCCTAAAAAAATGCAATAACTTGTTAATGGTACTGAAATTAAACCTGTTAATGAGCATTGGGATTTCAATGGTCCTGGCAAAAAACAGCTGGTCAGAAACAGAACTGCACAAAGCACCTCACTCCATTCTACTCTTATGCTCGTGGGTTAAAATACTCCCAGTTGGGTCCAAACCGATCCCTAATTCTTGGTTAGTCTATGGTATATTGACGATTTCAGTTTAACGACAGAAAATATATATTTTTTCAATAGCATCCACAAAAATATACAAAACCTTTATCTGAAAACGTTGTCTTACAAGTTTTTCCCTCTGTGCCAGATCGGCGCACGTCTCTCAACAGATGTTGCACGTATGTTGTGATTCAGACCCAGACTTACACTGGCTTCCAAAAATAAACTCTTCATAACAATGTTGTCAAGATAAACAGTTAATTGCAATACTGTTACTTGAAACATCGCCACAGACAAATTGAGAACCTCCTCCTTTTGTTGGTAGTGGGGAAGTCAGTTAAAAATGTTGTTTGTTTGTGACATTCGATTCATAACACTTATTTACAATGTTTAAAGACATAAAAGGTAGGAATACCTACAGTACCGTGACGGGTTAAGGTTTTGGTTTGGATCCGCAAGTTTATTTCGCATTAACCCATCAACTATAATGTGTTTGATCTATAATAGATCAGCATTTCAGCTGTTTGTCCGATTAGAAATACTTATTCCATTTTATACTGTATAGAATCACCAATCTATGGTTATATTAGACCACGTTCATACTTTCAGGTCATATTTTCTCGGATATAAGCAATATTTCGGACTAGTTCTGTATCGAATCACCACCTGTAGATTCATGAAGGAGTGGTGATCTGTTACGACATCCAGCAATAATGTCATCTCCAGACAATGAACACATTACGCATAACACATCGTAGAAACTGGTGGGCGAAGGCTAAGTTTAGGTCACCCAGCACCGGCGAAACACAAACTTACAAGCACCAAACTTGTTCTATACATTGTATTTTTCTGTTATTCGACCTTCATTTTCGAAAAACTTTTCAAGTATTTTTATAGTAAAAAATCTGGCACATACGCGTCTCGTGGTTTTATAGTCAATCACTACACGATATATGTAAATGAATTTAAATAATTTACGTCTCTATTAGTCAGCATAAAGTTAGAAAATACTAGAAATGATAGAGGTAAAATAGATTTCTCTACAGATTCTCCCTAAAAATTGGAAATAAATCTTGCAATTTTAAGCGAATATTTTATTAGAAATCTACCCAGGTTAATGGATATAGTTCAGTCTGCAGCTTTGCTATGGCGGGAGTATACATTTTAATTCCCACGTTATTTTCATGAGAAATAGAAAACCGTTGTAGTTTGCTTTTTTTATGAAGATATTTTGATTAAATCTTGCACATTTATTTACTTCATTCTTTACTATAATTTGGCCAAAAACACGTTTTACCTTCCCCATAGCAGCAAACCGAATTAAACATTAAATTTAATATTATTTTAATCGGAAATAAATATATCTCGTTAAGTAAAAATGCAATAAGACGAATTTAAATTCGCTTAGTCTGCAAGTTTGCTGCGGTAGGGACATTTTCATAAATAGTGGAAATTATATTTGAAATTTGAACAACTTAAAATAAGAGTGAATAAAACTCAAATAGTATACTTAATCTTTTATTTGATTCTGTACTAGGAGCTTAAAGTTGTGTGTACTCAAAATTATTAAATTATTGATTGTTTTTGGTAAATATTGTATAGCCTAGACAACAATATTTATAAAAATGTTTAGTAAAATTATTTACCATAAAATAATTTTGTCGAATCCATAGCAACGAATTCACTTCAACTTTAATATTTTGAAGGAAACGTTTCAATTGTGTACGTTGAATTTATAATAATAATAATTTAACTGCACAAACAGATACAGCAGATAAGGAATAATAAAAGAAGACAAAGAAGAAGAGAAAGAACTCCCACAAAGAAGAAGAGTAAAGAGGAAAGAAGAGGAAGACCAGGAGACTAGACGCACCTCGAAGTTAGGCAAAATATGGAAAGGATCATTACATTTATTTTGTGAGTCAAACATTTTAACAGCAATTTAGTTATTGTAAGGTATAATTTATATGTGGTAGTTCTAATATAATATAACAACGTTTATTGAGATAAAAGCAAACTTGGTCCCCTTCACTAATAATCGTTCGAAAAATCTGATAGCTCGAATTACCTGATAGGCTATATGTTCAAATTATCTTCTCTAATAGTACAGGTAATATTAACTGTAAGCAAACATCAAATGCTGTGTTTTATTTCAATTCATAACTCAATATAAAATAAAAATCGTTTCTATTAAGAATTATATCTAAGCTATATCAGCCATATTGATATCAACCATCCAAGACATTTACTGCTGCAAAAATTTTGTTAATGGAAAATCATTATTGGGGGTTACTTTTTTTTAAATTAATCCTTGTGATTAATTTTAACTAATGATTTTTTGCAGCACACAAATGACAAATGGAAAATGACAAATGAGCTATGGAATAGCTCGTTTAAGGGCTAGTATATTCATATTTAACTAAATTGATTATTATTTATCATTAGCCAAGAAGTAGTATGTTTGCAGCATTTTAGTTTTCAAGGAGTAGAAATCACATATTTCGCGTGGTCTCAGGGGGTTGGAAGGTTATGATATATCAACGGCTTAAAGGAAACAGTGGCTTGCAACTTGAAAGGGATTGAACTTTTTTAACTCTTCGGTGGAATCTTATTACCATTCCCATTGGTCAATATAAGCTCCTAATTCTAACCAACGTGTCAAAATCTTTATATTAGGTTCTTTATTAGGGTGTGATATAACAATACGATAATAATGTTTTTCCAGTGATCACCCTTTCATTGTCGCGGGGGCTGCCAGTGCTGTACTTGGCCTATTCTATTTCGTCTGGGGGAGACGCCCCCCTCCCCCACCAGTCCAGCCAACTGTTGAACCCCAAGAATCAAATGCGAGTGAACGTAAGTACTTTTATGTAAAAATATGTTTTGTAAACCTACTCTGAATATCCTTGAAACTTAAAAATGTACACAAAATAAAAGTTTGAAATTTTGCTTACGCGTAGTCAAGGGTTGCTCAGTTACGTAATTTATATGTTTACAAGGATTTGATTACGTGTTAAAGTGAGAATAATTTAGCAATCCAACAAAGCTGATAGGGAAGTGTTTATTAAATGGCGTTCAACTAAACTTTCAAGCTTCCGCTTCTTAGAATAAAAGCATAGATAAAACATACAGTATGTTTAATCTATGATAAAAGCTAGGGAGCGTATAAATTGAGGGTCAAAGTATTTGACCCTCCATACTTCACGCTTGTTATAAAGTTATTCAGGTGTCTTTAACAGCTTTTAAACTGATTTATTAGTAAAAATACTAGACGGAATTGTTGTTCATGTTATAGATGCAACAAAGAACGAATTTACCTTTATATGAAAGTACCTAACATGTAACAAATTGAAGGATAGTAAAGAACAACGAATACTCAGATATATTGTTAAACAATTACTTACATAACAAAAATTTTAAGGAAAAAATTAATTGTTTTAATGATCGTATAAACGATGAATGAGATTTATTAGATTTTTACGTTATATTTTTTTTCAGTGGACAACGTACCTCGACTCCAGCGTATTGGGGTTTTCTAGTGATTGGAATCTGGCCTACTACTGGACTACAAAATTTCATCGTATTTGTGTTTGTGTTATTTCTTGTGATTGGAATCTGGCCTACTACTGGACTACAAAATTTCATCGTATTTGTGTTTGTGTTATTTCTTGTGATTGGAACCTGGACTACAAAATTTCATCGTATTTGTGTTTGTGTTGTTATATTTGGATTTATGTTATACAAAAATTATTGTTCAATAAAGCTTATTTATATAAACAAGCTCTTCTTAATTATAAATGACAAATCTCAATGTGTGAGCTTCACAGTTAGTTGATAACCTTCTAGTCCATGCAATGTTTCTGGTATGAAAATAATTAAAAATACCCTTTTCACAGCAAACCTGCAGACTAAGCGAATGTTCATTTTATGTTCAAACAAAATGGTTTTTTCCTTAAATGTCCGTTTCATTGCGTATTTAAAACACAGTTAATTTTTAGCCTACGCCTGTAACATTAAAAAAAATTGATATAGAGATAGTTGATAGAGAGAATCGGATTTTAGCACCTCGAAGAAACATTTTGTGGACTCAGCTAAGCTAGGCTGGGAATTAAACGTTTAGCAAAACACATTTGAATTTGGTCTTATTTTGAATCGTAGTTTCGCACTAGATGCCCGTGTCGGCGTTGCGTCGTGTTCAATGTAAGGTATCGAATGTTGTATCTGTAGACGCTGAGCGCGCGTTATCCGACACCACCTTACTGACCACTTCCTGTGTCACCGATCAGGGAATATTCCGCTCAATGAATGACCATTCACAAATATTCACCATCGTGTAACGCATTCATAACTTCATGTCTTGCCTACAAATCACCCAACGATTGGTAACTAACACATGCTAAGCTTCATTCACTTTTTCTTCACTATCTGTCCTCGTCGATCAGTGAATATTCAACTCAATGAATGACCATTCACGAATATTCAGCTTCATTCAACTCATTTACCTCAACTTCATTAAACTGGCTAGGTAGCTAAGTGGTTAATGCTAGCCTAGCTATCAAAAGGTCACCGAATCTATGTCTGAGAAAAGTCACTTACTTTTTGATGGTTTGAAACTTGACCCAGCTGTTCATGATCATTGGGCTTGAAATAATCGATCTTGGCTAATGAAACAGCTGATCTTAGTCAGTAACAAAGCTACAAAGATCATCTCACTCCATTCTCCACTCACCCTTCACTCATAATACACTTCTAGGTGGGGTCTCCATCCCAAATTATTTTTATAATAATAATAATAATAACTCATTTCCCCAACCTACTCCGATCAGGCAATATTCCACTCAATGTATGACCATTCACAAATCTTCACCATCAGGTAACTCATTCATAACTCCATGTCTCACTTACGATTTAGGAGATGAATAAACATTCAATCATACACTATCCTCATTCATTCCTATCCTCTCTGATGCTTCATTCAACAAAATCGTGTGGTAGCCAAGCTGATTTCATAATGTCTTCGCTAATCAAAGCTTATATCTCACAATTCATAACCATTTACGAATGTTCAACTTGATTTTTGCCAAAGTGTTCTAATGACAACAGCACGTCCCCACATAAATCATGATTAAATAAATAGCTCTCTAAAATGTGTGTGTTCTAAACCAAATGTTGTAACAAACCTGTTTGCTGGTTTTGATTTATTACCTTACTTATGAAACAATTCTAGAAGTTAATTGATTTTTACAATCAATCGCTCAACTCATTGGGTAAAACCTGACTATAGTTCGGCCGCTTAGAAAGCGACCTCCTCCAGCATTGGTTTAGCATTAGCGCGCAGGTCGTTTTCTAAGCGGCCGAACTATAGTCCGGTTAGTGGTAAGATCGTCAAACAGATTCAACTGTAAAACTATATAGAATACGTTTGAAATACGTGAGCATCAATGTGGTATGTTAACAGAACCCCCTCCCCCTTTACAGAAATTAATCCCCTAAAACGTCACCAATATTTTTGAGTGTACAAATATGTGAGGTGAAGTTTATACTATAATTTTTTTATTCAGTTCTAATTAATTTGAAGAACACTCAGACACGGAAAACACAATAAGATATACTCCGGTTTCCACAGAATATGAGAAACCTATGTGCGACGCCATGTTAAAAGTTTGAAGGCGAACGTCGTCCCTGCTTAGCGTCTTTCCCAATAACTCGAAGATTGGGTTGCAGTCAACTCATATCTTCGTCACTTCACTACTTCATTTACTTTGTTAACATGCTCGTACCTGTGCAGACATGTTTGGAACATGTTTTGTATAAATTTTACTCAAGAGTTGCATACACTAGTCTTATAACAGTTAAATGTATCATCTTATGTGATTTTTCATGGGGTTTCCGTTTATGGATATGTCCTTGCCCAAAGAAAATATCTCTACGCGAAGTTACAACTTAATGTTGGGTTCCGAACCACAAGTAGCTAAACGCATTGGTGATTAAACGGATTAGAACTCAAGTCACTTTGAAAGGAAGGTCCATCTAGACGTGTTCTATCATGACTACATTATATACAATATCAACTGATATTGTGCACAATTAACAATATGAACGCGATATCACTATGATATCACCATTGCTGACGCCGCGTTATCACAATCAAACATGACGTGTTATTCATTCATATCACTTTGTACTTGTTTTCCGATCCTTATATGGGAATGAAATCGTGACGGGGAACAATTATTTTGAATTATGATGTATTTATACGACTCCTAAGTTGGGAACTGATCAACGATTAGTTATGTAGGCTACTTATATGGTTGTTATATCGTTTTGCTTGATCAGTTAATTTAATCTTTAGCGTGTTTTTAATTGGCAGCATATTTTTTCGGAGCTCTAATAAAACGTTCATTTTTATTCTAAAACGTCAACAACTTTAAACTAGGAATCATTCCATAGTCAATTCTAAACACACCACATAAATAATAATCTTCCCAAAACGCCTCTAATCCCCCCAACTCTCACCAACTCCAACCCACACAACAATGTAAGCGATGCCCCATAAGTAGCATCGGTGACTTATCGACGGCCGATCAAAGGGACTACCAGCTGATGAATATTAAACCGAGCTGCGTGTACCGTACAGCTGATTTATGTAAATACAACTATCGGCGTAAACAAATCAGCTGACGAAACGTGAGAAACCGGTCCACACCGGTGAGTCAGTGCCCGTATATGGCCGAGAAAGTGCGGTTACATGGTTATGTCTCGCCTGCCGCAGCAGCACAGCTGTATGCAGATCTGCTAGCCCAGCTGATTATAAGTTGCACGCTCAGTCGCTAAATGATTATTGGCTAACTGGAGTGAAGCGAATGGTGCGTCTGATGATGGTCGTGAGCGGTTTTCAAGAGTGGGAGATAATGTGGACGTTTGCTACCCACGTAACCTAATCTCGGTTTAGTGACTCAAATTGGCTCTCAAACGTTTCGTTTAGCAGCATTTTGGTTATCCTAGAGTTATAAACTTGTTACTTTCTAATGTCGACCTTTCGACCAAGCTTGGGATCAAACCAATAATATCTAAATTTTACGGTGAACACTATAAACACCCGGCCACCCCCAAAGAAATAGCCTTCATTCAGAGCTTTTATTTATCTGAGTCTAGAAACCAAAACACAACCCTAGCCCTGTGACGAGTAACGCGACCAAACGGTATCTGATGTTATCAGAGCTTAACAATGTTGCAACCTCTACAGTAAATAACATTATCTTATCAGTCAGGGTGAACGGCACCGTGTGTGGAACTGTGACTTCCAACCGCGACCTCCAGGTGAAACGTGTTACCGGTTACCGTTACAACAAGAGCAACATGGATTTGTTTTCAGCATCGATTTGTTTTACGATCTGTAAACTCCCTTGGTTCTACTTCTAAGTTCACCTTGAAGGATTAGCTACTTTAGCCTAATTACTCCAAGATCTATAGAAGCTTCTTTTACGGACGGTTTTCCTCAATAATTACCCAACCACGTTTTTAAAGATGTTAACGATATAGAATCTGACCCCAGAGACTCGTCTTCGGGTGAGAGGGAACCCAGAGGGAAAGAAGATTGGTACACGAATCTAGAAACACCTAGAAACGCAAAAGCTGGAAACAGCATTGTTCGAAATAGTAATTGATTTAAAAACAATTAGTGAATATTTTACTTCAATTTTTATTATTGAAAACGCCTCATTTAACATTTGACATTAATTGATCTTGTGTTGATAGATACTGTAATCGTATTTTTTTACCTCAATGTAACTTAGTTTCTGCATTCCTGATGAAATATTTGACCAAACTTATCAGAATAGTGCACAAAACTTTGTTAAAACCCCAGCCGATTTCCCCTTCAATCTTAAATCGAAAACAAATCCATCTCACAACAAAGGGTTAACTGACACACTTGTGTTCTATTCTCGGGTTTTAACGCGTTTCCTGAGCAGTTCTATTGTTAAGTTTAGTAGTCTATCTTACAGCAGTTCAATGGCCTAACCCACAACACTATCAACAGAAACAAAAGGAAGGTTCATTTTATGGTTATTCAAAGCGTGCGTCTTTGAACAACCGATTCATGACTTATCGCCAGAGTTTATGCTTTGTCGGTTGTAGATTCTTACTTTTACAACCACTGCTATTTACGTCTTGAATTACCGTGATATGGCATATACACCATGAAGATATGGGAAAAGCGAATCCTAGGAAAGTCGTATAAATGTGGATTTTTGCAGGACACATCCTCAAAAAAGGAAGATTATTTGCCAAAGATCATTCCCTCGCAGGCCAAAAGACGTATTCAACTCCTGGACTCATGTACATTGGGTAGATTTTGGGGTAGAATGGTGGGACTAGTTGGTAAAATACATAAGACAACCGAGAAGAAAAGCTGAAGACGTTCTGGGGCAAAGTTTTGAAAAGGAAAAATATGTTTAACAAAATATGGCGTACCATGGACTCAGTCAGTCAACAAAATACCTAATTTATCAACGTCAAGGTTTGGACTTTAATTTCAAGGGCTTCTATACACTTAATAATCATAAACGCCAGAGTTTTCTATGTTAAAGTTTTACCTTTGCACGATCACTGTGTCTCAAATAGTTTGTGTTACCGACCTGCAAAAAAGAAAAGAATAACAAAATGTGTTTGAGGAAATTATGAAAAATATGTTTAGTATGTTTGTTTT